ATCCACCAATGAATTAATGTGCCAACTCATCGGTGCTTAGGATAAGATGAGCACCGGTGCTCATTAGATCATTCCTGTATATATATATATATATATATATATATATAGATTTTGTGAGTTCCAATCCACCAATGAATTAATGTGCCAACTCATCGGTGCTTAGGATAAGATGAGCACCGGTGCTCATTAGATCATTCTTGTATATATATATATATATATAAAGGATTGCACTCTTGAGTCGAGTGAAAGCTATGGAAGCCAATTATGATTCAATAACAATATCCTCCAACCACAATTCTACAAGTCAACCCCTGTTTGACCGTCAATATGTTGAAATTGACAAAATGACCATTTTACCCTTCAACATCTATGACCCTTTAAGTCTCATTTCATAAGGCGAATTCGTTGTGATCACATCACAACACCAAGTCCAACGATCTTATCATCGAACTACTGAGCTCAGGTTCAATTCCCTTTAGAAAATATCTTGGAGTGACGATCTTCTCATCATGATGATTAAATGATTCATCTATTGCATGTATATGATCTCTAACTGCTTCACCTAGATTCCAAAAGCACCGAGATTGATCTTCTAATTAAGACTTTACTCATTGATACCTTAAAGAACTTGAACTAGCAATTAAAGGCACATTACTTGCTCATGATTTAGATGACTTGTTCGATAATGGAGTGGTGTCTCATTTCGAGCGGTCACAAATGAGTCATCATGCGGTCCCGTTCAACGTGCTTCAAAACATGTTATTGTTCTTATTCCCAGATTCGGACAAATCTTAATAAGAACAATACAATCTTGTCAACATAAAGCGTTCAACTTCATGTACCGATTGTGAATGACATATTTTGATCATATAACGAATTGTGTCTCACTATACCCAAACTGTTGAGTATACAATTTGTTATTTCATATGATCATGAAACTTTAGATTATTGTCATAAATTCTAACACGCGAATAATAGAACGTTAATTCATAATGTCGTTATACTATACTTATTATAAGAGGGGCATCAAAAAATTAACAATTATTGGTACCATCTTTACCGAGACATGGCTTGTTGTGTTAATGGATCTACCTAAACATGTGAGAAGCCATCTAACAGAAAGAGAAAATTGATTTGGCAGGGTTTTCCCTTCTCTCTCTCTGTCTAACTTCATCTCCTTGCTTCTCTCTCTATAACTCATACATACAAAATACAAATGAATTGGCTGCAATAATCGGCAATTGCAGAAGCAATGATTTTCTTCTCCTAGTTGCAATAATCTTCTTCTCCTGGTTGCAACAATCCCTTTCCTTGTGATTTTCATGCTCTATTTTTTATAAAAAAATGGAAAAAAAAATTATTCATACCGGTGGAGCTTGCAAGGGGACGTCGATGCTCGTCGGGCGCTGGTGTTTTGCCACTGTAGGAGATTAAATATATATGATCCATTTCAAAACTTAAAAACAAAGTTTAAAATTTCAAAACTCGAATATCAATTAAATTTTATTTATGAAATAATTAATTAAAATTACACTTTATTAATTAAATATATTGATGTCACTATTCTTTATTATTTGGTCATAAGTTATTGAATTAATTGGTCAAAATTTATTTTTCAATCACGAATAAAAAATTTTATGGATCACAAATTATTTCACGATCACAAATAAAAAAGAAATTGTAAGTCACAATTTATTCATTGGTCACAAATAAAAAAAATTTATAGGTCACAATTTATTTATTAATCACAAATTACAAATTTTAGAAGTCACGCCTCAAAGCCTTAGAATTTTAATCTGAAACTTACAAAAAGAAATAGAAATAGAACCCAAAACCCGGCATTGCCACACTGCCGCCGCCACCACTACCTCACGATCTTATACTTACAAACAGAAACAGAAACCAAAAAGCCAGCACCACCTCACCGTCAAACCACCACCATCTCTAACACAACCTCACAATCTGAAACCCACAAATAAAAGTAGAAGCAAAAATCAAAAAGTCGACACCACCTCACCGCACACCGTTACCACCACCAACACCACCTTACAATCTGAAACAGAAACAGAAACAGAAACCAAAACACCAACTGAGCAACAGAAACTCACAATCTCAAAGCGCCGAACAAGTTGACACCACCTCACCAACAATACATTTTAGTAATGAAACCAACAATAAAAGATTCTCAATTAATGACTTATCGAGGACGAAAATTGGACTTCAATCCTTAACCAATACAGCATAACGAAGATTGGGCTATGATCTATCCACGAAAAAGAGCTGAACTGGACTTTTTAATATGCAGCCCTTGTTTAGTGGAGATTAAAATCAGATTTTTAGTAAAAAAATTAATGAAATGCGTTATTTTTAATTGTTGAATTTAGTTTGAGATTTTAATTGAATTTTAATCCAGTCCAAATAAAGGCATAGTTCCACAGTTACATTGAAGTGGTTGAAGAAGTTGCGAGCTATGGGATTACTAGTTTAATTCTAGGTTTCTATTAGTGAAAAATGGAAATCATATGTTTTTTGAATTCCAATTCCAAAAATCAAGTTTAAAGTTTTTTTTTATACAAAAATCAGGTGGTAATATCTTCTATATATTAAAAGTGGCTATGTAACGGAATTTCTTGTTTTTAACGGAAAAACTAACGGAATTTGTTGTTTTAACGGACTATGTAACGAAATTTCTTGTTTTAAACAGACAGCTGCACCTTCTTTCAATATTTTTATCATAACTTTGTATTCCGATATCTGATTGTGGCGATTCAAAATGCGTTGGAAAGCTAACTCATCTGACTACAACTTTGATTCAGATATCATTCTCCAATTCGATCACTTTCTATGCCAAAAATATGTCTCAATATGAGACAAAAATATTGGAGCATAACTTTTCGGTTGAAAATTGATTTGTGATCATCTTTTGACTAAATTTGATTCCATTGACGTCTTCCTTTATCCAATTGACTTCGAGCACTCTCAAATCTTCATCGTGAGGTTCGACACAACTTTTAAGTATTTACATTTTAGTCCCTGAACTTTGGATCCCTTACAATTTAGCAATATCTCCAAATTTGTCAACTTTTGCTTATTTTCTTCGATTTCACCAACTTACATCACAACATCAAAATCACACATCTAATTATTTATCAATTACATAAACATTACATCATTAATTATTTAATTAACCAAAAAAATTACATCTCTATTAATAACAAATTAATTCTTAAACAAAACTATTAAATATAAACTAGGCAAACGTGCATTGCACGTTGCTTGCACCTAGTATTTCTTAAATATTAATAATAATATTATAAAATTAAATAAATCTACAAACCCACCGCTCACCAAAACCCTCACCTCCCACATAATTTCAGATCTCCATGATAAGTAGTTCGTTCATGTGATGGACTATTTAAAAGTAATTGCTTAGTTCATTGAAAAATTGTATAGGCTGTGGGTCATTTGCTTCAATCAGTAAAATTGTCTCTTTGGATGAGTTTATAAATCCAACATTGAAATGAGGTCAATTCCTCCAATATGTGTATATATGTTCTCTTCACTGTAAATGTAATTTTCATATTTCCTCAATATTTACTCCAACAGTGTGTAGCATTTTTATTGCAAATGAAATAAATTGTTCATTACATACATTAAATTTTTATAATCTTTTATTATGGTTTTTAGCATGAAGATCAGGGGCCCCGGCTGTTCGCATATTCTCAAGAAAGTTATTCTAGCCGCACCATTATGCTACAAGGTATCTTTTGGAATGTTTCTATTGTCCAATTAGAATATGAACTAATAAAACACAACCGGAGCACATAATTTAGAACTGCAGACCCGAATACTATATATTGAACGGTTCTTGATTCTTAATTATGTTTGCACTCACATAACCAACATATGCAAAAGACAGACGGAACATCTCTTTTAAGATTGTGATTGAACAGGTCTTTGAGCCCTTTATTTTTCCATAGATGTTAAGTAGAGAAATAAGATTCAGAAAAGAAGAAAATTCTCAGTTGCAGGTCATCAGAAAGATAAAGAGTGGAACGTAGGCACATGGTAGGCTGGGATACACGTATATTTACTAATATTTCAATAATACAGACGGGTCAGGATCATTTAAAGATCTCTGTTTATTCTGGCATAGTGCATCAGATGTATCACTAGATTTGTGATTACAGTTTTATGCTAATTTTCATTGACTAACTGAGAGAAATTAATTGGGGATACATATATTGGTGGACCAAAAAATAGAGTTTCAGCTGCCAGACGACTTGCTTTCTGAGTTGGGTGGTACAAATCCCAGAACAAATACTTCCTACGATCTGGACAAAGTTCTGCTGTTGCATTACAAGGGCCTTGTGCTCTTAAAATTCCCCTTCCACAGCACGCTGTATCAACGTTATGAAATTCTGACAACGAAAAGAAAATGAAAATCGAATAGGTCAAGTGGATGATTATGGTGTTCAGTAAATACGTATTAGTTAACTGCTTACTGAAGTCATGGGGATGATTTATGACGTCATTTGTCATATTGTATGCATATCCAAGTGAGTACTTCATTTCGGGAAGCTGAGAGCTGATGTTGTACAGTAGGGTGTTGAGTGCTGACTGGAAAGCCAAGGCGACGTTATTCATGGCTTCAAAGCAACCTTCTTTACCGGTCATATTTTTATAGGCAAGTCTATTGGCTGGACAGCATCCAACTTTTGCCACACTAATGATGCCAAACTTTCGTGCCCCAAGGTTGTACAAAGCCTACCATCAAACATGACCTCAGTTCTATTATAGGGATCTCCCCTTTTTGACTTGAAGAAAATGTATACAATACTGGAAGGAAGAAAGCTTACTTCAATGTGAGTTGTATACGCTGACATCAGAGAGTCGATGAAGTTCTCGATAGCCTCTGTACTATTTGTCTCGAAATATTCGAAAATGTCATTGCTTCCAACACTGATGAAGAACAATGCTTTTGAGAGTGTTGCTTCTGTTGATGCTTGGCCTATAACTTCAGTGAGATTATTGCGCAATGCGGTGAATTGAACGATCTGGTCTGACAAGGGCACAATACTCTGTTGGTGACGTAATTTTACATGGGAAGAAATTGTTAGAGTTAGCTCGGGGCTAATGTTTGAAGCCATTGTATTAGTAATAATTCAAATCAGAAAAAAAATAATGAAGTCAGAGACACGCCTGATGACTTACCAGGTTTTTGCCAGTTTCATATAGAAGTCCAGAACCTCCGGAGGCGAAGTTTACTCCTCTATGGAGAAGCTTGTGGTGACCAGATGTCTGCTTAAGGAGAAAGAGATAAGGGGAAGGGCTTCTCTTGAATCCCAAAAGCTTAGCTGAGAAATTAAAATCTTGTTAGCAGCTAGTAGGCAGACAGCTCGATTAATTTCATGTGAAAGATACTTAAAATAACTAACCGAGCTGATCAGCGCTGTTGAAACCATTGCTGAACCTCCCGGTTGGTATTCCATTGGGGAAGTCAACGCCATTTGGAGAAAAATTAGCTCTTGCTTGGCTATCTGGTATGAAAGAATTAGTTCCTACATCTGCTGTGGAATCCCCTAGTATGAAAATGGTAGGAAGAGTGGCATTATCAGCCAAGTGAGGGACGATATTGGCTAAGAGAACAAATAAACTGAGAAACAAAGGAATAAATGTCTTAGCCATGTTATATAACCAGGCTGCAGATTAGTTGATGCTTTCTGCTTCCTGAATTCTCTCTCCGTAGTTATTTTTTGTTGATCTTCCTGTCTAGGTAGATTTCTTGATGTCCCAACTACGAAATATATAGGCATTATGTACATTGATTTCCACTAGAGTACAAGGAGGTAAATGATAAAATGTTGTTTTCCAACAGAAGGATACAATTTATGAAAACTAAGCAGTATAACAAGGCGGACTGCCCTAATACCATGGAAGACCTGAATCTTCCCCTTTTAAGACAGTCATGTCGTAGCGTATTTGTGTATATATATTAAAATTAACGTCAGAACCAATAATTATTGAACATGAATGAAAAAGGGGACAAAGTCTAGCAGCTCCATAACCTAGTAAGAAAGCGGCAAAATAATAATAAAAATTGAAAGGTTGGTTATGATATTTTATGATTATAACAAGGTGAAAATTGAACCAAGTGATCTGTCTTAGAACAAGTAATTTTTTTATGCCAGCTAGTGTATACAATATCAAAGACACGATTCATCATTTCCGGTATAAACAAGAAGAATCAGAGACCTCTAGACAAGACAGTGGATGTTTATATGTAATTTCTAGGAACTGTTAACATAAAATCATCTGCTTCAATTTATGTTGTATTATCTCCCAATAATTTACGCTCACAAGCTCTACGAACAAATATTTGTTTACTTATAACCTCTAATGTAATTTGATTTTCGGCAGAAGAAAGAAACATCTTCCAGTTTATATACTGGAGATACAGAAGCAAAGAGAAAATGTTGAAAAACAATCCCTAGTAGTAAAAGGGAAAAACATGGGTCTGGAATTAGCATATTCATTTGTCCCACATCAACTGGAAGTCTAATGGATGATGAGCCTGTTGACCTATGGTTGATCATGACCTTAATGTTTTGATTATAACAAACAAGTCCATCTTATTTACTAACAAACTGAATTGAGTGTTTAAACCTTTGAAGTTATAAAAATTATTATTCACACTCAAACGAAGTACAAGTGAAGGTTAAATGAGCATTCAAGATAATTCATTCGAGACAATAGTGATTTGCATGCCACAATCAAATTGGAACTTAACAGAATTGCAAATCAAGATATAAGTTAAAGAGAGGCTCGAAGAGATCAAGAATATTGAAGATAGAGTTATTTATCGAACCTCGTTTATATATGTAAAGGTATAACTCGTCAATGTTTA